CATCCAGAAAACACAATTTAAAAATACGACCATAATGCTGGGCCAAAGTGCAGACGTGTTGCTTGTCTAAGAAGGTCCACGAGACTTGGTGGGTCCAGCCGGGCAGTGAATTGTTGGCAGAGTTCCATTTCAATCTGTGGGCATGCAGGCGGGGTGATGCACTGTGGTTGCTTTAGGAAATGTACAGTTTATGGCAAAGCTTTTCCATTAGGTTTTTATCTGGCTTGCACTTGGCTTGTGCCCCTTTGAACAATTTATTTTAGATTTAAAATTTCAAGTTAGTTCCAATATTTCTTGAGGAAAAATATTATTTTTAAAAAATCATTACTTTTTTTGAGATGAGGGTAAAACTTGTTTCTAGAAAGCGTATTCACTAGTTTATACAGTCCACAAGCTCATCTCAAAAGCTCTGAATACAAATATCTTCAGCTAGCTGAAGAAATTATTTTATTATTATCCGAAAGCTCTGAGTGTGGTGAATGAGAGAGATCTGTCTTTGATGAATTCAATGCTGGATATGTCACCATGCAGAAACAAATTTTAGCTAAATTGTGAAAAAGTCAGTGCCATGGGGGTAATGTTCACTTGATAGGAAAAGCCATGAATATTACTAATCAAGCATTAGCTTGGAAATAGCTTTAATGTAAAGAATAATATCAGAATGATAACTATAATGAATTTAGTATGGAGCCAAGAAGATATCAACTTTTTAAAAAGAGAACTTTACTCTTGGGAACCTGCAAGTTGAATTTTCAAAAAATAAAGAAAATAGACAAAAATGATACCATACGTTGTATTATTATAACTTTTACATTGATAACTATACTGTCAGGCAATGCTCCTCCAGGCTTTGCAGAGAAATCTCACTTACGGTGGCATTTGGGAGGCAGTGCTATGACTTCAGGGAACAGCCTCTGTGGCCAGGTCCCTTTGGCCTGGTCTTCTCTTGCCAACCAGCCAAAGACACATGCGAACCCTCAGCTGGCCTGTGGGTGAACTGGGGGAGCCTGATGCCATTAAGGTGCAACCCTCTGAGGCTTGGGGGCCATCTTCCACCTTGGTTCTTGGTCCTTGTCCAGAGCTACTGGACACGGTGAAATCACAGCAGGGAATGTGTGGGCAGGGGTGGTTACACCGCTGGCTTAAATTTGCAGCCCATATGCCCAGGGAGCCTAGGCAGCAAGTGACAAGTAAGTCTTCTGAGTGGAAGAAGAGAGGAGGGGATTCTGCCACGGCCCTTGGAGAGCCTGGATGGGATTTCTTAGGAGACTGAGCAAAGGGCGCTTGATACCTGACATCTTCGACCCTAGAGGCAGGTGCACGGCACTGCTCAGAGCTTCTGTTTGCCTTATATCTGGGCTTAGAGGTGAGGACCAGGCCTCGCCTTCTACAGCTCCTGGAATACCAGCCAACCCTCTTTTCCTGCTTTCCTTGAAGCTTTCCTACAGGTCTTCCCTGGATATTTCCTCAGAGGTTGAGGCAATGTCTCCCTCTGGTCATTTTTTCTTCTTCTTAGCTCTACTATTGAATCTCTTCCTCCAAGGTCAGCCTATTTCAGATGAAGTCAGATTAAGGGTGGAGTATTATGTGCTGCAACAAAGGGCCCCATTCATCTTAGCCTCTTTTCCAGAAAGGGCATCTCAGAGACCCACCACAATTCTCTGAGCACCGCCTGTGACTTATCTCTGGCTTCAAAGTTAAAATCCCAAACAGCGTCTCTGTGGCATCACTGGCTCCGTGCCCGGGAAAGTAATCAGTGGTTATTAAAGGGTGTTGAGGGGTATCACCTCTTTCTGGTCCAAAGAGAAGATTGGAAGGTCAAGAGTCAGAAGGCCCCATCGGTGAGGAAACCTCAGTCTTAGCAAAACCTTTCTGGCCACGTACAGCTCTGGCTGTGCTCCATGTCAGCAACCAGCTCAGGAGTGCGGTGTGTGGGAGACATACTCTTTGCAGGGTCTAGAAGGGGACAATAAAGCAACAGGTGAGGCCACCCTCTCTGGCTTGAGTGTGAGTGGCAATTCCAGACTGGACACCGCCAGTATCCTCCAGCTGCCATCAGTGAAATTGGTGAGGGGAGGGGGCGCGATGGGCAGCTAAATGGCCTGTGAATTCCCAAGATCCATATGCAGGACGCATGCATCATTTTTGGACATATGCACAACCATGATTTAGGTTTTTTTCTTAGTTTATTAAACCACTTTTTATATCTTTGTTTTGAAAGTTCTAGCAAGCTGGCAGAGTTAGACAGAGGGGGAAGGTCAGAGGACTGGCCCCTGACTATTCCAGATCGCAGGGCTGCTGCGAGGGAGGAGGGGAAAATGGAGAAAGCACCATGGCAACACTAATGGTGTGGGGACCTCATGCGAGGGGACAGCTGGCAGAATTATGTTCATCCAATCTAGACTTGATAAAACCCTTCTCTCTTAATTAGCTGCAATAATTCTTTCTGAAGTCTTCAGACAAGGAACAGACAACCTCTGCTTAGCATACGTAGCATTTTCATTTCTACGTTTCCAAGGATGGGAATGTCTTGTTTGAACCTTTACTTTGGCGCAGAGATGAGTGGGGGAAGAAAGCATCCAACCCAAGCATTTGAGCCGTCAGTAGAATGACAATAATCGTGGTTTTCCTCCAGGGTTTCTTGTGACATCGCAAGATCTATAACCATCATAACGAGCTGCCTTTCTTTAGCTTCTGCTCTATTTAAGTGTCCATGGATATTCCTCCCTCCTCCTCTGCCCCTTATTCCACTCCGTCCTCTGGCATGTTAAGTATTGCATGTTGGACAATACCCTCCCCCCCCCAAGTTCAATGAGACAAGGTTGGAATTTTTCAAAAGGAACGTTTACTAGGAAACTAAAGGGAAACCAAACAGAATGCAAGAGAACAGAAGTAGAGTTGCGGATCGGCCGATGGAGTTCAAATGAATAATGGGCCTCTGGCCACAGCTGGACTGGCTAGGCAAAGCTTTCCAGACGTAAAGCTATCTACCTGCCTCTTTGCCTGCTGGCCTCTTTAAAACCACCTTCCATTTCAGAACAACAAACCAGTAGCACACTCATTAGTACCCCAGGGCTGCCAGCTCTTTGGGCAGGAAGATCTTGATGGGGGAATAACAGACACAACCGCCCCAGGAGCTTCTGCCCAGGCCCCAGTGCCAAGGACATGTCAAAGTTTATTGGGATGGCGGCCTGATGCTTATTTGGGACAGTCTGGTTTATCGGGGACCATTCTTCTGGGCTTATCTGCCTGGCACTGGTGATCATATTTCTGCTGACTATCCTGCTGGTATGAGTGTTTCATGCTTTGCTCCTAACACTGAAATGGTGAAGGATGTCTGAATAGGGAGGACTAAGCAGAAAGAGCTGGGCCAAGAAAGTAGCATTCTTCTCCTGTCGTCAGACATAGACAGAAACGTGGGTCCCCTTTTGATCCTGGAGGTTGAAAGCCAATGAGATGGAAATGAATCGGGCAGACTGGGGAGCAGCAATAGTGCCTCACACAACCATAGCCTCCATCCTTTTAGGTCTGACATCCGGGTATTTCTTATACCAGGCAGCTGTGGCAACACAAAATTTTCTGAAGACACACATGATCCTGTTTCCACCCAGCTAGTTCTACGCTGAAATGACAATTCAAATGAGGATAATGAGCTTCCCAGGAAGGTAAATGACAATCCAACTCTGGATTCTGCTGCAAAGGGATCAGATGAAAAGGGAAATGTTATCTTGGATAAATGGTGAAAACGTGTGGATGGGGTACCTTGCACCCATCATGGGAGAGAGAGGATTCCCCGCCTGGGGTATGCTGAGGCCTTTGGTTTCATTTATATGACGCAGAAGCAATGAGGATGAAAAACACGGTTGGCAGTGAGTTGGCTGATATGGTCACAAGGAAGCTGAGTAATGAATGAGATACTGGGGAGAGCCCTTGACCTTCTCTCTTGTGGGTATTTCCATTCCCCAAGGGCTGTGAGAGTGATCTGTGTCTGGAAGTGAAGAGGAAACCTGTCGGTGGCTACCCAAGGCTACCCTTTGGGCTGCTGCGTGTGGAAATACCCAGAAGGCACTCAGGCCAAGAAGGCCCAAACGTTGTGCCTCCACTCATGGGATTTCTGTATTATCTCTCCAGGAACTCGGTTCTCACAACGGCACATCTATTTCTGAGGCTGTTCCCTCAGTGGACAAATGAGTCTGGGAAAGGCTACTCTGGAATGCTTACACCACTGAGATGGATGCCTCTCTAGCAGGGATGATAACTTGCATTCTAATGCCAATACTGGTTAAAAAGAAGTGGCTGCTGGCTACCCAGAAGACAGTGCTATGCTGTGGATTCTGACCCCTCAGAAGCTCGGTTTAGCAGACGAGAGGACCACGATCAACTGGTACTCGCTGCCATGTGTATGGGGGAGGGCAGTGGGTTTGCTATGAGCGAGCCCTCCTTGCACTAGATTTTCTTCAGGGGAACAGCGTGCTTATCCTACTCCATCCCTGGGGCTATTCCTGGCAAAGCTGGAACACTTCTCGGATGAAATATTTTCTGGAGACAGCTATTAGCTCGAAGATGAATTAAACCTGCTGCCTAGTTAGCACCTGGATATATTTTAAAGTATTCTGTCCTTCCAGGGCATTCAAACAAATAGCATCGTGTCAGTATGACGTTGCCAGGGCAGATGCTGTGCCATCACTGAGAGTCCTGGTACGCAAGGTCCTCTCAGTCCTCTCACTGTATCAGCTGGTTTCTTCCTCAGTCCTGTCCTGGTTCTTGGCTGTGAGAGACGTGCTTCCCCTACAGCACACCGCCTTTGGCCATCTGAAGACAACTGGACCATTCATGTTCACCAAACCCAGTCTGGAAAGAAGGCCAGTTATCACTGTGGTTACAGCTGAGCATTTGGTCACTGGAGTCGCCGGGTGTTGTTGGATAGGGAATGTTACTTAAGATCTTTGTAAGATGGTTGTCCTACAGTGTCCTTGCCAAAGCAGTCCTCTTACCCACAGTCATCGTTTCTGCAGGAAGAAGAAACAAAAAGAATGCTTTGGTTTTCATACATATATTTTTAATGGGTACCAAACAAGTGTCAGGCACCGTGCTGGATGCAGGGGTATAGTTCCATGGGTAAGACACATACCTTGCTTTCCAGGGGGCTCACAGAGGAAGAAATTACAAGGTGAGAAGCTGAATAACAGAGGTGCACATTGAAATGCATAAGAGCAATAGAAGGGAGAGATGAGCTTCCAGGGGGTTGAAGAGGCTGCAGAGAGGATGCTGAAAGGTAAGTCTTTAAATTTTTAACAAATATTTAAGTATAGCTGGCATAAAATATTACATTAGTTCCAGGTATACAATAAAGTGGATTAGACATTTATATACCTTACAATGTGACCACCACAGTAATCATCTGTCACCATGAAAATGTATCACAGTATTATTGACTATATTTCCCTCCACCTGTCCTACCCATCTGCCATCCCCTCCCCTTTGGCAGCCATCAGTTTGATCTCTGTTTCTATGAGTCTGCAAAGAAAGCAAATGAAAACCACAATGAGCTACCACCTCACAAGAGTCAGGATAACTATTAGCAAAAAGTCAATGAATAACAAGTGTTGGCAAGGATGTGGAGGAAAGGCAACCCTTGTGCACTGTTGGTGGGGCTGCAGATCAGTGCAGCCGCTATGGAAATCAGTACGCAGTTTCCTCAAAAAATTAAAAACAGAACTACCACAGGACCCAGCAATTCCACTCTGTGTATTTATCCAAACAAAATAAAAACACTACTTAAAAAAGATATATGCACCTCTATGTTTATTTATTTATTAGTTTGTTTGTTTATTTTTAAATATATTTTATTGATATTTTACAGAGAGGAAGGGAGAGAGATAGAGAGCTAGAAACATCAATGAGAGAGAAACATTGACCAGCTGCCTCCTGCACACCCCCTACCGGGGATGTGCCCGCAACCAATGTACATGCCCCTGACCAGAATCGAACCTGGGACCTTTCAGTCTGCAAACCGATGCTCTACCACTGAGCCAAACCGGTTTCGGCTGCATCTCTATATTTATTGAGGGATTATTTACAATAGCAAAATATAGAAGCAATGTAGGTATCCATTAATATATGGATGGATAAAGCAGATGAGGTACATATATACAATGAAGTCAGACAGAAAGACAAATACTGTATGGTTTCATTTACATGTGGAATCTAAAGAACCAAAACAAAGGGACAAACAAAAAGAAGGATACGACTTGAGCTGGAACAGTTAGGCTGAAGGGGAGGACGTCCATCTGGAGAGGAGAGAGCCCATGCACAGGCACCACGGCAGGAAAGGGCGTGCGCAGACTGGGCATATTGTCAGAACTGGGTGTGAGGGGCGGAATTGTGGGAAGTGAGCTGGGGAGTTGAGGGGGGTCTGCATGGTGCAGCATCCCTTCCTTGTTTCCAGCCCATGAAGGGCAGGCTTTCAGTGGAGCCCAGACTTAGAGCACCAAGATCTTTTGTTCCCCCCTCAGCCCAGCCTTCAACTTTTCCCGGTATGAGAAAAGCAGGTTAGTTGTTCAAGAGGAAGGGCATGGGTGAGTTGTGCTGTGGTTCAACCCTTTTTGTTTGTCTTGTGGGAAGAAGACGGGAAAAACTCAACCAACCAACCAACCAACCTGATCCAGTAGGAACTTGGTGGATGGGGGGGTGGTGACCGTGGCATCAGGACTATAGATTAACAATGGTGTTCAAGCCCTGGTGGCCCTAAGGCTGGCCCTGCTGGTCCAGTGCTGGCACCGGGCCCATTTCACTGGGCAGAAGCAGCAGTGACCTTGTTATCAGGCCTCCCAGGCAGCACCTAGGGTTTGGAGGGTATCAGGAAGTTTAATGGCATCAGCAGGAGAAGTGGTTATAATCTTCTGAACAGAGGGGGTTTTAAGCGAATTCAATTGCTCTGAGACATATGAATCTGATTTGAATTAAATTGAATTGAAACCAAAGATGAGAACTGTCCCAGGGAAAACTGTAATGTGAAGTGACATTTCAATCATAAAAAATGACAGCTGATAGGAGACAGGCCACTGAAACTGACCTCAAATTAAGAACATGAAAAGATTGAGTGGATCATTAGATAATATCTTCCTGTGAATTTGAAAATGGGTTTTGATTACAGGAAGTATCTAAGGGAGAATGAAGAAGCTTGTCAAAAATTGAAGTGACTCATTACATGATTCAATCTTATATGTACTTAATATGGTTAAACTTGAATTTAAAAAAAAATTATTTAAAAAAGCATAAAAAAATCTCAGGATTATGTTGACTATTTATTATGTACCACAGCTTTGCAAATAGATGATGGAACATCATGCCACACCCACTTAGAACCTGATTCTTCCCTTCTCCCTTTCTCTAAAGAGGACATTCCTTATTGTTCACTCCCATTCACTCCTTAAAGAATCAGTATGTTGTCCGGCCAGTGTAGCTCAGTGGATAAGCATTGACCTATGACTCAGGAAGTTGAGGTTTTGATTCCTGGTCAAGACACATGCCCTAGTTGAGGGCTTGATCTCCAGTAGAGAGCATGCAGGAGGCAGCCAATCAATGTTTCTCTCATCATCGATGTTTCTATATTTCTCTCCTTTTCCCTTCCTCTCTGAAATTAATAAAAATATATTCTTAAAAAAAAAAAGAATCAGTCTATTAAAGAAATAAAACAGTATGGCTGTAATTATATTTCCAGTCAGGAGACTGGGACATTAGCATGGAAAACGAAAGGGACCATTCGGGTAATAACTACTATTTAATGAGCACTAAAGATCCCTGCTCTAACCTAAGAACTCTGCATATCTTACTTTATTCAGCCTTGTCCCTCTGTGATAGATATTAGCATTGTATGTTTACAGAGCTAACTGGGCCTGGGAAAGACAAAATAACATAGGCAGTAAATGGCAGAGACAGAATCTGCCATTACTCATTTATGGATCCAAATGCATGCTCTTTAAGTACTGTGCCCTGGATGGCAAATTACTGCACCTTCGATAGCAACTCCATTGAGATGCCTTTCAAAAAGGATTCTTGGTTCCAAAAAGAATTCTGAACAGTTTCGTCTTTGTAGGAAAGTGTATCAGGACCCATTGTCAAGTCAACCTTGAGAATAAAGGTGGTGAATGGTATCACGTGTGACATGTAGACTGTTACTGAGAGGGGTCCATGGGAAACAAGGCAGAAGCAAGGGCTCTAAGGGAGATGCCATTCCAAGGTGAGCAGAGTACAGACACAGTTTTTCAGATGAGGAAGCCTGTTAGAGAATCACTGCAAGGAAAAACCTACCCTACCTAATAAAGTTAGGTAGAGGATATTTGGAGTTTGTTACTCTAAGTTTACATTCACTATATTTATTCAGTAATTCACTCCACAAGCATTTATTGCGCACCAGGTAAATGCAAAGAGGCATCTTGAAAGACTGCTGAGATAAGCGACTCCATACATGATGGAATTCTGAGCGTTCTGGAGGAAATAGTCATGGGTCTCCCAACCTGTTTTTAAACTAAGATGTTTCTTTGCAGAGACCTTTATGTAAACTGCCCAGGCTTTTGTGTTGCCACAAATCTCACCTGAGACAATAGCTGGGAACTTAATTGCACTGTCTCAAACCTCATGTGTGTCACCTTGCACTTGGGAGAACTAGGGGCTGGAAGGAAAGTAGGGCTCATGTAATCCTCATGGAAAATGAAGTTTCTTTGGCTTTCAGAGCTAGCACGGGGCTACTTTTATACATTAACAGAAACACTACACCTGAGGATTTGAAAATAGGACATGCAGAGTCCATCTAACACATCAGCAAGCATTTCCCAAGCTGTAAGATAGAATAAATTGGAATTCTATCCTACAAGTACATACTCAGGGCTGACTTTGAGCCAGGCATGTTGCCAGGTCCTGGTTATACAATGGTGAATAACAACCTCACGAAGCTGCTGTGAGTGCTGTGGGTGACACACACCCAGACGATGTCAAGTGGCACCAAATGTTATATTAGGGGTAGGCACAGGGTACGAGGGGAAGGGAATAGACACAAGGCAATTAACTCATAGTAGAAGGATCTTCAGAATGCTTCCTGCAGAAGGGGAAAATGGACCCAGATGCTTAAAAGATAAGTGGGACCTAGCCAAGCAAAGAGGGAAGTGAGGCAGTACAGGAAGTGAAAGCAGAGACTCGGGCATGGGGGTGAGTAGAAAGCATGTGTGGATCACCAGCAATTGGGCATAAAGTGCAAGGAGGAGATGGAGGTGGGTCACAGGGCAGGCACCCTGAAGGCCAAGTGAGGAAGCTTGGTCTTGTTCCAAACAAAGGGCAGTTACTGAGGGGCTTTAAGTAGGGGAGGGCACGATCAGACTAGTGTTTCAGGACTTGGGCCCTGGAAGCAGTGTGTCTTGGACTGGGGGACACATAGGCAAACAGGAGAACAGAGCTGAGTGACCACATGGGAGCTGCTAAGGCACCTCTCCTGCCCCACTTGGCCTCCCACCCTGGCCCCGGGTAAGTTTGCCAGTGAAGCAGGGGTGGAGGGGATGGGGGAGTAGGAGGGGTGGGGGGTGCAAGGAGGAGCTAACTGACTTTGGCTTCTGAGACCTCTATTTGGCTGGGCACAAAACAGGACCTGAGTGCTTAAATTCAGTATTTCCTGGAAAGGGATCTCTGAAAAATAACAGAGAACTATAAACATAAATACTGAAGACATCGTAAATGAAGACATATGTCTGCCTCCCAACCTCCAGGGGTCCCTATATGTTAGTGCACAATAAACTGGATATTAGATTTGTTCACCTGTGACCCTGACTTGAGGATATCACCATTACCACTTATGAATGATGGACATTTTCTGGATAAAAAGACCCCAGTGTACTTCAGGTCTCATTTGCCTGACATAAGGGAGACACTGGAGGGAGGTCCACCCACCCAGCCTGCTGCATGTGAGGGCACCTGAGTCTCCGCTCTGTGAGGAGCTGGGGATAGACTGGCTCTGTGT